ATCCTATCCATCCACAATTCCCAATCATTCCTGCTTTTCAAAACCACTGAAATGAAGGGCCTATTTGTTCCCTGCTTGCTTAATTTTGCATCTCTTTCCTTGGCAAATGGCTTGTAATAATGGAGAACAGAATAGAGTGTGAAGTCATTATCCATCACAGGTAACCATTTTCTCACAAACGAGTCTTCGATATTTATCTGTTGAATACATATATAACCAAAGAGAGGAGTCCATAGGCTAAAAGGGGAGCTCACATTTTGAGTACAGAATAAGTCACCAGTAGGAACAAAGAAGGGCCAGAAAATAGACGGGGTGCCAATTAAGAGTCAGCTGCCTTCAGAAGGCACAAGTAAGAGCCAAAGTTTAGAATGCCTCCCCAAAACTGCCTGAAATCTAATGTAGGATTCTAACAAACATTTTTAAAGTCTATGAAATGACAAAATCCTAAAAGGCAAATTTAAGACTACCAATAAAAGAAAATCCATACCAATGCATAAAAAACTGTTTCAAATCTCCGTTGCCTTGGGTGACGGTAATTCCCTGGACTAGTACTCTTGGTGGACAAGGACTCAGTCCGTAGACTTACCCTTCTTTGGAATGACCTCACTGATTTAATGCTTTAGGTGACAATTACTTGAAAAATTACTGTGGTAAAATGTACTTCGGAGACTTTACCCACGTTGTCTATGTGAATGCCAACATCCCAGTTTAGGGATCCAGGTTTTAGCAAGAACAGGGAAGAAGGTGAGGGTGACTTAAGTACTAAGCTCCATCTTCCACACGAACACACATTTGTCTTTCATATGGTATAAATGCCCACTCAACATGCCTCTCTAACAAATACAAAACTCATTATTAGCGACAAAACCATCAGATCTAAATGATCTTTACTGATGCACTGTTGTACTCTCCATCAAGGCATAAACTCCAATAGGGTTTTCTCTAGGTTTTCACATCCTCCTTATATACACTGAATATTAGACACTTAAGATTTTAGTGGTGACAAGCCAGCCATTATTTTCAAACAAGTATTTTGCAGCAAATGGCTAATACTTAAGCTTGTCAGTATTCCAAGTTAAGCAGATGGTGTAGGTTAAAAAAAACCCTAAGGCTACTTGCATTGAGATTTCTGTAGTCATATTTGTTATAGCTTGGGTTTGGTCATTATGTCTTCAGATATGGGCACCTAGGGGTGTGGTGGGGAAAAGTCCCAAGGGATCCCACATAACCCTGTGCTTGGCAACACAAACTGCTTGTAAACCCAATTAGCTTGTTAACTATATGCCATTAGATACTAGCAAGCAAAATCCTAAAAAAGTTGCTGACATATTTTAATCATCACTTAGTAAACAATTTTGAGCTCAGATTTGCGCCAGGAATTGCACCTGACTATACTTTGTAGTCCCTAATTTCAGTTTTCCCAAATCTTAAATCACTTATCCAACCAGTTTTAGATACAGGTAAAATACTGAAATGAAGTTCAGAAGTCCTGGATCCCAAAACGGACTGTAAAATCATTGTAACCTCTCTAGGAGTCAGTTCTTTTTCTCCCTCAAAATCTTAACGTGAAACATTCTACAATTATCTTGCAGTATTTTGTGTTTTCCTACTGAGTTGACTGTTGAGACGTGGTGCCAAGAAGATGGTCTTTTGCTTATCTTTCCACTAGTATTCTAAAACATACTTAACTATGCTTGGAAGATTAGTAATTTCTTATTGCCAAACTTTGGTTGTGTTGGAAAAAAGAAGTTACCTGGCCAGCAGGCAGAAGGTAGTATCATCAGCATGTAAAGGCACCAGCAGTCGGCCAGCCTGTTTTTTATTCACTTTAATTCAACTGTATAGATTTCTTGTGGTTCATTTATTTCCTTCTTTAGTTCAAAATTCAGAAAAGTTTACAACAAAGACTATGATCCGAAGGACCTTTAATTTTCTCATCGAACCATGGATCCAGTCATTTAATTTCCTACACCAGCTTCCAAATACTGGTCTGTGATGATTTGCAAAGTGAAAAAGAAAAAAGCTCAAACAGCACTTTTTTCTATACAGTTAAGCATGATTTCTAAATGTCCACTGAGTCTTTTTTGGTGTCATGAGATATTTATGCGTGACTTTATCAATGTTTTTGCTAAGCAAAACAAAAAGCTGGTCAACTACAATGGTCCAAAAGCTTCTAAGCAAAAAATGAAACAAAACAAAAAAACACCTATAGACAGAAATGTTTGGTCAATATTACCTTAGCCAAACTATTACCTTAGTCACTATTACCTTAGCCAATATTACCTTTGTCAGGTAATCTTTCACTTTCTCTAGAACATCTCAAACACTAGGATATTTCTTTCTTTCTTTCTGAAGCAATCACATTTAATCCTCTGCTAATTATTAAAAGCTGCTTTTTAATCTTGAGCCAAGTGGTCCCAGTCTTAACCTCTCAAAACCATACAGTATACCTAATTATTCTGCCACAGCTCTTTTACAATTTTAAGACACCAGGCCTGTGTGTTACATGGGCAGCCTTCCCCAAACAAAACTCATTTCCTTTGGAGAGTATCTAGTCATTTGTACGATTTCCTTTGTTCTATTACTTACAAAACCCAGGTAAGTATGTTTTTCTCTGTATTATTAAAGTTTCAAAGACTTGAAACATGTATTTACTTGTAATTCATTAGTCTGCTAATATGCAGTAAATATGGGATGAAGTAGTTTACCTTTGCTTTTCAAACCACTTCCAAAATTATGCACACATGTAAATTAGAGGGGAAGTATCTTAATGTTTTCTAAAACCTGTAGAGAATTCCCACAAGTAATAAAGATGAATAGATGAAATGCTGATTACAAATCACTGTTATCTATTAAGACAGCTCTCCAAGCATCACTAGGAGGTAGTTTGAGTCATTTATAATTCAAACTTGTAAACCTTAAGTACAAAGGTATCTGAATTATACGTAAGTCAAAGTTTACAAAGATGTTCCCCTACCCCAATTAGTCTAAATTAGTACACTTTTAATGCAAAGAAATCTGAATTAAATGTCAGAGTCAACAAAATTCACAAAGCCAGAAGCAAGTTTAGTGCTCACAAGTTTATATTTTTAGGTTTGATAAAGATTCTTGTGTATTTTCTAAATACACAGACAAAACAGTTGTGGAAGTTTACATACATGTCTTAGGACACTTATACTAGGTAGGTAAATTACATTAAAAAAAATTGGTCTTTGTAAAAGATCTTCCCAAAGAGCTTTTACAAACAGCAGGCAGAAGAAAGCGTTCTTTTATGTTTACAGTGTTTAAAATGCCGATTCTCCCATTTCATAATGGCCTCAACCATCCCTCTCTCCTCAACCCAAAATTTTGTTCTCAATAGCCAGTGTACTCCAAATTAAGTACCCAATGTCCTAAAATTCAGGGCTAGAAAACATCTATTAAAGTGTGCTTATCCCTAACACATTTTAATCTATCTAGAACGGTTCAACTTCACTTGAAAGCAGGGATACAGCAGGAAAAAAATTTTCCACTTTAAATCCTAAAAGTGACTACGAAAAAACACCTGTTAGTTCTAAGCACATATATTATGTACCATAGTTAAGTTTAAGGATCTGGGTGACTGAACGGCACAAAAACTGGGGTTCACGTCTAGTTCTTCACTTTAAAACCATCCTTTTAAAAATAAAAATGCCACAGCCAATTAATAGCATGTGCTACACTGAGGTCAGGTATCTTATTTATAGCCAGGTGACAAAACTGCTTTATTAGGAGGAAAAGAGTGATAAGGGTATTTGGGGAAGGAAAGATTAGACACTCAAATTCCTAACATAGATGGTTTACAGGGAAAATAGGTCTCCATACAAACTCCTTTAAAGCCCTGAAATTCTACAAAGTTGTTTAATGAGGCAGTTAATAGAGCCCCCTAAAAAGAGGATGGGCTTCATTCAAAATCAAATCTGGTCAAAACCCAGCTCTACCACTTAGTAGCTGTGTTATATCGGGCAAGTTATATTATGCAAATTTCTTGGAGCCTTTCTCTTCCATAAAATGGAGACAATAGCACCTACCTTATTGGGAATTAAGAGAAAATAATGTAAAGCTCAATGGCACATGTAGGCACTAAAAAAAAAAAGTTAGCTTTTGGAATCATTATTCAGAAAAATAAACTCTATGTTGACGAAATCCTAAAAATATACATAAAGCTTACCAAAGTTTTAAAATTTATGACTTTTTTAAAAACTCCTCTTCCACCACACTTTCCCCTGTCATCTTCAGGCCTTTTACACTTTATTGTATGACTATAGATTTCCCAACCCTGATCCTTTCATTTTCTGTTTTCTCCCCCTTTCCTCTTGGTTTGCATCTATTATTAAACTAAGATGTATTAGGCCTCTATTATGTACCAGTGTTGGAAGTACTTTATGTGAATTCACTCAATTCTATCTCCCTCTTCTCCATCAGGATGGCTCTACCAAAACCAGCTAGTGTTTTCCCCCCAAATTTCAAAGCTATTTATTAGTGTTCAGTTTCCCCTTCCTACAGTTTTTTTAAGCTCTTAATTGCTAGGGCACTAAAATTAGCAATATATCTAGTGAATATGAAAAATGAGGGCCAGGAACAACGACAAAGCAGGGACCATATGGAAGTAACTGTCTCTGAGAACCCTAAGAAAGAATACATGATCTTAATTTATAGGAGAGGGTCTGTTACTAGAGTGAATAGGAAAGAAACAGTTTATATTTTTCCTCTTCATTAAAATTACAGCTCTAAAATATGTTTCATTTAAAATATAAGTTACCAAGAGAAAAATTCAGCAAATGTGTAACACATAATTCTGCCAGGGCTCCACAGACAAAATTATGAGTATTCCATTGTCACCTCTGAGACCAATCATAAGTTCTTAGTATCTATCAACTTCCTGAAATTGTACTGTAAGTCAGAAAAAGAATATACTTAAAAAAAAAAAATAGAAACGTCCAGTAGTATACCTTAGTACTAAAACTATTTTTTAAAAAAAGACCTAGAAGGGAAAAGGCAGTCCCTCGAGATCATGAAACAAATAAGTTAGGCAGTCAGCAAGTAGAAAAATCTGTCAATTCTGTTTCTGGTAAAATGTTTACTTTAAAGAAGAAATTTTTATATAGGCTGAGGCTAATATATTCAAGAGTATAAACATTCCTTTGGATTACCTTTCTAAAAACAAACTTTTAAAGTATCATATTTCAGTTGACTAAAAATATAGCCAAATCTGTCACAATACAACATAAAAGGTAATGGACAATTATAGAATATTTTAAATTAACAGTAACAAGCCATCTACATCAAACCTTGTTTCCAACTAAAACCAAACAAAAGCACAACAATCCCGTAGTGTACCAAGTGTGTATTTCAATTTACTGTATGCAATCTAACAAAAATTTGGTCATAATTTACCAGATATACATAAATGATTTAAGTAGTAAAAGAAAATTCAGTTTAAAGAGAGTAAGTTCATATCTTGAGGAAAAGTAAAAGTACATTAAGAATGTAAAGCCAAGTCCAGTTTCTATGCAATAAGTGAACTGTAGTCTAATAAAGCAGATTTAGGTGATTTTCAGATATATATCTTTTCTCTTTAATATATATTTATATATAGACAGATCTACCAATTGTAAACTATGGTTTATTTTAAAGGAGGGGGATAAATGGGATGAAAGAAATCTTTATACTATACTTACATATTCACAAAGCAGAACATTTTACGTTTAAAATACTTTTTCATTCATAGTATCTTTGCCCAACTAACGTCTACTTTGGACCCCACCAGAATTACATTATACTCATTTGTCTAGAACACTGAGAAATAAGATGTACTCTTCAGTCTTAAACAAAAATCAAACCAAACTATTCATGTCAGTTTTACAGTTATGTAGAAACTACAATAAAGTTTAGATGACAAAATATGTATCTAACCACGTAACTGTACTTTTTATCTTTGATTTATCCAAGCAGAAACATCAATGTCTAACATTAAACCATTATACTACCGAAATTGGAGACAATGAGAAAGCTTGTCTCTTAAAAAAAAAAAAAAAAAAAATCAACCTTTCAACTTTGATCAGATGGAGCACCAAAGGATTATGTCTGTCAAAGTGTACTTAGCAATTTTTTCCACACAAATAGCATAATTTAGTGACCTGATATAAAATAGGAAAATATACTCAATTTCTATTTAAAAGAAAGCTGAAAATATGATATCCCTCAATCTTATATAATATACAATATGTTCCTGATAAATGACATGCATGTTAATATTAATTATGTGAAATGCTGCTGTGAGTTTATCAGCTAATTCATCTGCCAGACTAAATAAATCTGACAATTTCAATTTAATATATCACCCCTTGTACCTTGAAGAATTTAGTTAACAGAGTAATTGTAAAGCCTCTCAATATTTTATTTGTAAGATTTTTGCAGACTGTTGAATCATGGTGACTACCAGAAAGACTATATATGAAGATGTAGTAAAATGTTGAGGAATTGAAAAAATAATTATCATAATTTCAAAACACTCAATATCCCAGTAAGTATCAAACAAAAGAGAATGCACTTTTTGTGTTTTTTTTTTAATGATAAAAAGGGCACGGGAGTAAAAACCTGATATTTCACTTATATCGCATAACAAGCTAACCAAACTGGACATGGAGGTCAAATTAGGAAACAAATCATTTTACTTATTGTTTCTATGACTTTTCTTTTGATTAGATTTCTGTCTTTTCAAATAGGACTGAGGTATAGTACACTGGCAAAAATAAAGAGGCAAACAAGAATAGTGCCAAAGTAACAGATACCCAAAACCGAATACCATGTCAGAAAACGTCATGTAATAACCATTTATCAGATTAGAGCAGCAGGAGGAAGTTACTTCTAAATCATAATCATTTTAGTGGTATTTGTCAACTTCGCCACGTCAACTTTGCAACATCATTTCTTCATTTGTGAAGTAGTAAAATTCATGTCAAAAAAGGAAAGGGGGAATGGAGGAAGTCAGTTCATTCCAATAAATTACCTCTCCAGTTCTTATAAACATGCCCATCAGCACAAAATTGAGAAATAATATCTAAGACTAGAAGAGACTTGGTTTAAGTTATGAAGCAAATTAAAATGGAAAAATACAGAAAAGTAGAACCAATGGGGTTGAAAAGGCCCCTCACTGAAAATCTGTATTAAAAAAAATAAAATTAATAAAAATAAAAATAGAAACAAAACTCTACTAGTACAAACTAGCCTGAGTGGTTTGATGGACAGGGTAATTGGGTCAGCTGTCACTGTAGTCTTAAAAATGGATTTTCTTCATTCATGTTAAAGTGGCACATGAACGTAAGCTCTTTAAGGATAGGTACAATATATTCGTAGGACCCAAGTAATTACTGTATATCCTATAAATAAAAAATATTTTTACTTTGATAACTGACTGAAGATGTGGGGACTCCATGTAATCCAACCACAAGGTTGTTTGCTGTACAGTCCTGTGCAAATATAAAAAAAAAATTTTTTTTTGCTATAAGGCTTTTTGACCCTACAGTTTTCACAGCAACATAACTACCATCCAGCATGTACCATATTTTGCAAGCCTTCAAGTTCAACAATTCAAATTGTCGATTCATATTATGTCCAAATGCAGCATCCTTGAGGAGTATAGGTCAGTTAATCATCTAGAGACATACAAACATCTCCTGATTCATCCCATCGAGATGGATCATTCTGATCTTCTCCATCATCAACCAGCTCTTCATCAGCTTCTCCTACTTCATTCTCTTCATATTCTTCATCCCGAGGGAAATCTGTATCCTGTCCCTGATCTACACCTTCTTGCCCTCCTGGCTGTGATTTATCTGCACAGTCTACACAAACACCATAGCGTCGAGATCCATGTCTTATTCCAACACTGGCTGCTAACATGAAGATCTTCTTACACACCATACATTTGTATTTTTTATCCTTTTTATGCACCTAATTAAAGGGGGGAAAAATCCAATATAAGGACAGTATAGACAATAATGCATTTCAACCATTCAATTAAACTACCCATTTAATAATGAGTGAATGATACCCTTGTTTTTCTGTATAAAGTTCAGTTCATAAATCACATAATTTGTTTAAAGCAATTTAATAATCAACCTTCCCTAAATTTCAGGTAACAGTGTTAAAATACCTTAAACTTCACTGACATATATTTTATCTCAAAGATCAGTTATATTTAAAGTTACTTACCAGGGAATGTCTTTTCACATGTTCTCTGCGAGTAAACAGTTTTCCACAAATATCACAGCTAAATGATCTGACTCCCGTATGAATGAGCAAATGCCTTTTTAGTGTTCGTCTGTATTTGGCTACATAGCTACAATGAGGGCATTTTAACTTGTTCATGATTAGAGATGATTCACCTTTGAGAATAAAAAAAAACCAAAACAAACACACACAAAAGCAATTATATACTGAACAGAAAACTTGCTATCAAAAGCTTGTCTATCCCTAAGAACAGGGATTATTATAGGACTACCAGTATCTTAATTTTTTAAAACTCAGAACATGGAAGCTTTTAACTGTGAAAAATCATTTTAAAATTTCTGTAGAATTTAGTTGACTAATACTTGCCATTTTCCCAAGTTTCTTGTTTTGGCCAAGATTCAGGCAATAATCCATACTTGAAATCATTTGAAGCACCTGGTATCAATCCATACTTGAAATCATTTGAAGTACCTGGTAGCAATCCATACTTGAAATCACTTGAAGGGCCAGGCATCAGGCCATACTTGAAATCATGTGAAGTACCTAATACAATTGAAAAGTGATTTTGATGTAATGATGGTAATGAAAATCTGTCTCTTATTAGAATAAAAAAAAAAAAAACCCAGAAAATAAACTTATTATATCTTATGAGCATTATGATAGAATAGCTTATTATAAATAGCTAGATAAAAATCTCTACAGTGTAGTCTGAAACCGAAATGTCTTCATACTTTAATAGTGCATGGAGACCACATGAAACTACTCTTTTATACTGTACTTCAAAGATATTCAAAACAGAACTCTCTCAATAACTGTCACCCTGAAGCCCAGCTTTGGAACAGGATAGTCTCCTTATTGTCTCCAATCACATAATCTTGTTTGAAGACTTATCAGTATAGAAAAATGGACTAAGAATGAAGAATATAAACCTCTCTTTCTAACTCCATCCTTAAATGAAAATCCGAAAAGTGGAATCAAAATAGTCAATGTCCCTTAAGGAATTTGTGCCTAAGGATCTTCAGACTAGCTAAGATAAGAATTACCTCCTCTGGATAGCATTCCCTCCCCCGCCCTTATTTTTTTTTTAAGATTTTATTTTTAAGTAATCTCTACACCCAATGTGAGGCTCCAACTTACAACACTGAGATCAAGAGTTGCATGCTCCATCATAAGCCAGCCAGATGCCTCCTAGACAGGATTCCTTCTTGAATATGTATGTCTTTACCTGGCTCCAGGAATCCTTTGGCAATGTAAACGTATCCAGTGTTCTCCATAGCTAGCTATTGCCACCCTGATCCAATCGACCATTAACTCTTGCCTCTGGATTATTTTCAATAGCCATCAGAGTCTGTCTCATACTGTTGCCCTCTTAGAGTTTGCTCTCAACACAGCAATTATAGATTCTTTCAGAACTTTAAGTGAGAGCCTGGCACTCAAAAGCCTGCAAGGACTACCCATCTCACTCATATAAAAACCAAAGACTTATAATTATCTTACACAGCCTTACCTAATCTAGCCCTTGATCTAACTACCCGCTTGGGTCCCTCTATTTCAGCCGTACTGGCCTTTGTACTGTTCCTCCATGGGAAAATGGCTCCCTCTACAAGACCTTTGCACTCTTTCCTCTGCATGAACACTCCTTTCCAGGCTATATGCTAGCTTACTTGTGTAGTAATTTGTTAATTCTCCGTCCATGAAAACCATGGATTTTACAAAAGAATGCTTGCCAAACTGGGTATTCTAAAAATTCATTTTCCTCCATCTATCTGCCATATATACTACTTCCCTAAAAATTAAAATAACCTAGTATTCCTCTTTGGTGAAAGTATCAATACCCAACAATGCAAAAAGGTCCCTAAGGTATTTAAAAATTTCATTACTAATAATGTAAATTATTTTATACTTGGAATATATTCACCCATTTTTTAAATGTCAGGAAAGCCTGCTGTTTCCATAATTACATAATTAAACTATAATGTATTTTTGTTTGAGGGAAAGTTTTCAGAATCCTCAACTGAGACACCATTATCTGTTGGGGGGGGCAGGGCAGGGGATGGAAATTAGAATGGGGGTGGTAGCCTGTGAACATGAATCTATCAATTTTCAGCTTTACATTTCTAAATAAAGTCTGAGCTTTGACTCGTAGTTCTTGATCAAATCAGTGCAAAAAAAGAAGCTCTGAGAGCAAGGACTGTGCCTGTTTTACTCACCTTTGTATTTTTTTTTTTTTTTAAGATTTTATTTATTTATTTGAGAGAGAGAATGAGATAGAGAGCATGAGAGGGGGGAGGGTCAGAGAGAGAGGCAGACTCCCTGCTGAGCTGGGAGCCCGACGTGGGACTCAATCCCGGGACTCCAGGATCATGACCTGAGCCGAAGGCAGTCGCTTAACCAACTGAGCCACCCAGGCGCCCTCACCTTTGTATTTCTCATGTCCAAAGCTTACAATAACCCTTCAATTATTTCTTGAATAAATGTATATATTTTTGATTTGCTCAAAATACTTGCAAAACTATTATCAGAAATCATGTTAGGTATGTTAATAACCTCAAGTTAGTACTTTCATTACACGTAAGAACAAACTAGCCCTAAAATAATTTATAGGGGCACCTGGGTGGCTCAGTTGGTTAAGCGTCTCCTTCAGCTCAGGTCATGATCTCAAGAGTCCTGGGATCGAGCCCCACATCAGGCTCCCTGCACAGTGGGGAGTCTGCTTCTCCCTCGCCCTCTGTCCCTCCCCCCACCCAGGCTTGCTCTCTCTCACTCTCAAAAAAATCTTTAAAAAAATTTATAAACTGGTAACCCAAAATTCAGAATTAGAACACTTGAAAGTCCATGTTTCAAAAAATAATTTATAAATTGATGACCCAAGATTCAGAATTAAGTTTTTAATACTTGAAATTCTGTTTGTCTCGATAACCTAAAGATTAATAAAAAGCATCCATGAAAACAGACAGGAGACACCATATATCTAGAATATCAAAATGATAATTCAAATTAAGAAAGCCTCATCCCAAACTTCTCTCATCTGGCCAAATTAGAGGTTACTTATAGAAGTATATGAGCAAATTAACAAAGGTAGTGCTTTTGTAATTCAATCACTGAAAGATCTTTAAGGTCATTCAAGATCTACTTGAAAATTGCGCTCACTGCGCTCAGTAATATCCTTCAGGGTGCATTTTTCCATAATGGCAAACTAAGAAGAAAGCATTCTTTTGAAGACAAAGGCTGATCTCAGTTGCAAAAACAAAAATGGATCAAAATGTCCCCTAAAGAGAAATGACTCTAAATTAAGAGTTTGCTTTTTTGAAAAGGAGATGTATTATATGAACCATTCTCCAATGAAGATGTTTATGTGCAGAATTGAAAATTTTACATATGAATTCACATACCCTGTCTAAACTCATTCTTCAACCAGATTTCTAAACCAAATATAAAATACCTTGTACTATTAGTGATTTTTTGTACAAGGAAAAAGTCTTCAAAATTCAACCCATACGATCTGTAAATGGCTAATTTCAAAACTTTCTGTAAACTCTTTTCTTCAAAATTACATGGCTTAACTTTGGTCAGTGCATACTATACTCAGAAACCTGTGAAAGCTTTATGTAAGAGTACCCCTAGCTGTCCCCCTCCCCATCAGTTTTTTTAAACAATTCCAAAGCTATGAGAAGTTGAAATCAATGAACATCTATATCCCTTTGTGTACCTTTGACAGATGTTTGTTTTGCCACGTGTGCTCTCTATAAACACACATACCCACCTTTTATGTATTATATGTATAATTTGGAAACTTGCACATCATTGCTTCCCCCTCAATATAGCATGTACCTTCTAGAACTTTCTCCTACATAACCACAGTACCTTTATCACACCCAAGAAATTTAAAATTGTCTATTTAATCCATACTATACATTCAAATTCCCAACTGTTCCCCAAATGCCCCTTTAGTCATTTTAGAACCCTGATGTCATCAAGATTGACAATGCATTTAGTTGGTTTGCTTGAATCTAGTGGTTCCTCTGCTTGTTTTTCATGGCATTAACATTTTAAAATCCAGAGTAGCTGGATTTGTGTAGATCAGTCTGATGTTCTCCCCCCTCATGATTAGATTTGGGTTACACATTTGGCAAGAATATTACGTAGGGTTGTGTGCTGGCTAGTGCATTCTGACAAGAGGCATGGTATTTCTGCTTCTTTTATTATAAAGCAATCTTTCCTCTTTGTAACTGAAGTAATCTGTGGGATGATATGGAGACCATGTGAATATGCTATTACAACAGCCTTTTGCCCAATCATTGTGAGATAAGCCCATTAACAGTGGCTTAACATCCATGGATAATCTTCAATTATTTCCTGTGGGGTATTTTTTCAATTGTCATTCTGTATTTATTAGCTTGGCATTCTTCTCTAAAGAAAGCTTTTTCCCTTCCTAATTTATTTATACTCATGTTGTTCTCTGGAATATTTATGGATTCTCTGCCTCTATGTGTAGGAGGATACCCCTCCCAAAGTACGAAATATTACTATTTAGAATTAACATTTTCTATCACCATTACCAACCATACTATTATTTTACATCAATGCTAATTAAAATACATTAATCAACCATTTGGATAATTACCATTTTCATTCTATGTATATACTAGCAAGAAGCCACCAGCTCTATTACCTTAATTACTTGATATTTAAGATTTTAAAAGCTCTAAATAAATGGCTCCCTCAGACAATAATAAACACCCATCCATTTGTATTTACCAGGCTTCCGAAAGTGTTATCATAAACATAGCTATCATAAACATAGCTACCACGGATTGAAAGTATTTACATAGAATACTCTCTTTTAAGGGAAAGAAACTGCAATAGGTCCTTAAATATGTACACAAACACTTCCCAATCTTCAAATCCTCTTTAACATACTCTTACTAAAATCCTACTGTACCTACCAGCATCACCTCCATCCTGACTGGAGCCGGCTTCAGCCAATAAATTTGTATTCACATTCCTATCACAATCTGGCCCTGAGAGTAGAGCACCATCCAGATCTGAAAAGGAGATGTAGAATCATCTGTTATTTACAACCACACTATAGCTATCACCAACCACTCCCTTCTTGGTATTGTTTCTTATGCTGACTAAATAGAAAGATATCTGCGAATTATAGTATCTACTATGTGCTTAATACTACTAAGGCACAAAATCATAAGACAACTACAAGAACAAATGCACACTCAACAGTAAGAACAGTGTACTAAATACGAATAAGCTTTAAGAGGCAGAGTGAATTAGGTTACTGGCTATGTGAGCATGTGCCTCAGTTTCCTCATATGCTGCCAACCAGATCACAGATATTAAATTAGATAATGCAAGTCAAGTGTTACAAATTATGGCATTTGGCACCCAATGACAGCTGCTACTGTTAGTACTAAGTATGGTTGTGTAAAACATTACTGTTTCTGTATGGATTCAGAAGTGAAAAAGACCAATTAAAAAACTATAGTAGTAAAGGAAGACTTTGAAGGAGCTAATTCCTTCATCTTGAAATATGGAAAGGAGGTAGAGAGGCAGCTTAAAAGAAAAGACATACTAATGAGATGAATACTGGTTCTAATCTGTTAATTTCTTTTAAATCTATTCCATCCCTTCCATTTTTCTACCACTGCCTTAATTCAGTTACCCACCACCGTTCTCTTATATTAGTGAATTACTGAAATAGTTTCTTGGTCTCCTTGCTTCAAAATATAATGCTCGTACTTCTGTTCATAATGCCAGAGAGATTTTCCTAAAACACAAAGCCTAAATTGCTCCCTTACCTTAAAATCTTCAGTGGTTCACCAGAGCTTTTTCAAACACCTTAGTTTAGAATATAAGGTCCTAATGTTCAAGTTCCTACTAGCACTAGTGAATCCAGCATCATCCCACTGATACTATCTACTCTCCCAAATTAAATCTGAAGACAGGGCACCTAGGTAGCTCAGTCTTAAGCGTCTGCCTTCAACTCAGGTCACGATCCCAGGGTCTTGGGATCAAGTCCCATGTTGGGCTCCCTGCTCGGTGAGGGATCTGCTTCTCCCTCTGCCCCTCCTCCCACTCGTCCAATCTCTCTCTCAAATAAATCTTTAAAGTATTTGAAGACATTTAAAAAATGCCACTTTTTATGGACAATCTGTCCTCTGTCATTTAAGACTCATCTTTGATATCGCCATCCCATACTGCTCTGGCTTCCCCCAACACTCAAGATAAAAAAAGAAAAACACAAACTCCTCTCTACATAAGCAGGTAACTGATTCAAAAAAATTGATGGTGGGCAAATAAAACTGTGGTACATTTATAGAACAGAATACCACCCAATAATGGTTCTAGTGCATAGTTATAAAATCCCAAATCACTGAATAGATCTAGTACTTATGTTCTAAGAGGCTAGTAGGATTATGTAATTGCATAATGAAGGAGAGAAAGAATAGGAAAAAAAATAAAATGATCCTCAAGCAGGCATAGTTAGGTCATATAGAGCACTGCACGCCATGGTAAAGATTTCGGCCTTTACTCTAAAAGCAGTAGAAGGATTTTAAACAAGGCATTAATCTCATTCACCTTTTAAAAAGACTATTCCTGGTATTGTATGGATGAATTAAAGGAGGGCAAAAGGAGATATAGGGAGATTAAGTTAGTAAGCTATTTTAGAAATCCAGATGAGAACAGACTGTGGCCTTGACTTGGTTGATGGCGGTAGCAAATGGAGGAAAGTAGTTTGTGGAAGAACCAACAGTGCTTTGTGAGACTGAATACGGGAGAGGCAGGGTTTGAAGGTAATGAGGGAAGTTTCCATCCTATACTAATGGCAGTTAGGGGTCTCTGGCAGAGGACCAGTTTAGGACCAGTTTTAGGTAGTTTTGAGTACTGAGTCCGAGATACCTAAGAAAGAGGAGTTTAATACGTCTGGAGTGGGAACAGTGGGTTAAATGGGTAAACTCTAGATACTGCCTGGGACCAATTCTCAGCTCTGCCACATCCCAGCTGTGTGACAGTTGTGAAGCAGGTTATTTTACTTCTCTAATGCAGTGGTTCGCAAAGTGTCATTCCCAAATTAGCATGGGCATTATCCAGGAACTTGCTAGAAATGTAGAATTTCAGGCCCCATCCCAACCTACTGAATCAGATACTATGGAGGTGAGGCCCAGAAATCTGTATTTTATAAAGCCCTCTAGGTGATTCTGATGCTTACTAAAGATTGAGAAAGGTTTTATTATACAAGTAGAGAAATTATCAGGAAAAGAGCTATGTACTTTTCATTTATTATTGTCCAAGGACCAAATGACATAAACGAAAAGCGCTTAGGGTGCCTGGGTGGCTCAGTCGTTAATCGTCTGCCTTCGGCTCAGGTCATGATCCCAGGGTCCTAGGATCAAGTCCCACATGGGGCTCCCTGCTCAGCGGGAAGCCTGCTTCTCCCTCTCCCACTCCCCCTGCTTGTGTTCCCTCTCTCGCTGTGTCTCTGTCAAATAAATAAAATCTTAAAAAAAAAAAAAAGTGCTTAACTCTTTGCTTGCCTGGTATATAACAAACACTCAAAATTTTAACTATTTTTTTTTTCATTTAAGCTCCCAAGTGGAGAAATTAACACCAAAGGCTATACAGATACGATGCTTAAGCTGGTGATAAAAATGAGTTGTCAGACTATACTGGTAAATAAGGTAATGGAAGTAAGTAGATGAGACCATGAAGAAAAAACTATGACTGATATGTTGAGGAATCCTAGCATTTTAATCAACTAGAAAATGATACAGATTTTAGGAAGAGTTATTTCAAGAACTAGTCCACTGTGACAATGCTGCCAAAAATTTAAGGTAAGGACTGAAACATACATTACTTTCATTCCACAAATACTGAACACCTAGGAGGTCACTGGTGATCTTAGAGCAAGTGACTCGGGTAGATCAGTCGGACAAGGAGAAAAAAGAGTGGCCTGTGTTATGAATGGAAGATGATGAATTATAATCTATAATACAATTTGAGAAATTTGGTTGCAAAAGGGAAGACATAGAGTTTAAGAGTTTGTTTTTTTAAAGGTGAAACTAATAAACCTTTAAATGCTGAAATGAAGTCACTAAGAAAGGGAGAAGTTAAAAGTATTGAAATTCAAAGAGAAGGATTCTGGAATCCTGAAGCAAATGTTTAGGTATTTAGGAGAGAGAGCAAAGACAATATATAGACAGAAGTTTGAAAACAGGTACTTAAGGACATTCATCTACCAGCTTTTATTTTCTCTGTAAGGTGAAATAGTAAAAAGTGAGATTATTGCCTAGAGTAAATGGGCTGGAAGTCAGGAGAATGAAAAAGTACTTCATGTGGAGAAGAGCAATAGTAAATAGACTCCTCTACCTGTCCCGAGAGGTGGGATACTGGTTAGGTTTTATTTTCCCAGCATTCATCACAATGCTTGACAAAACACTTTTTTTTTTTTTAAAGATTTCATTTATTTGAGAGACAGACGGAGGGAGAGAGCACAGAGGGAGAAACGGACTCCCCACTGAGCAGAGAGCCTGATGTGGGCTTTGATCCCAGGATCCCGAGATCATGACCTGAGCTGGCAGAGACTTAACCAACTGAGCCACCCAGGCACCCTGACAAAACGCTTTTCAAACAAGTGTTGTTAAATGTTGGTTTGAGTATTTTTCCCTCTGCAACCTCTGTTACTAGTTTACTTAATGGTATTTAAGGAGTAATTTCTCAGTTTTCTGGTGTATAGGAACACTAAAATATAACCACTAACGGAAAATGATTAACTGAAATTTAGTGGCTTTATTTTCCTATGAAAAGCTGAATGTATTTCAATAATAAATTTAAATCAATATTCAAACAACTGTACTAGGTTTCCCAGTATCTTTTTTTAAAAAAATTGTGGGGGCACCTGGGTGGCTCAGTTGGTTAAGCGTCTGCCTTTGGCTCAGGTCATGATCCAGGAGACCTGGGATTGAGTCCTGCATCAAGCTCCCTGCTCAGCAGGGAGTAAGCTTCTCCCCCTGCACCTCTCATCCAGCTTGTACTCTCTCGCTTGCTCTCTAATAAAATCTTAAAAAAAAAAAAAAAAAGTCATTATTCTGGAGTGTACAATCTGTTCAGAGGGCACGTCTTAAAATTCTGCCAAGTGGGTTTGTAAATACAGGCAGGGTGTTTCTATTTATATAACATTCTATAGTGATTTGTTGAAGGCTTCCTCAGCTAGTTCTTAAAATAGACATTTCCTGTCTCCTACCCTACCTCTCTTAAGTATTAGAATTTAATTTGTGATCTTTAATCCTACACTAAGCACAGAACACCTCAACCTGAAAGCTTAACAGATGACAAATATATTCTTCCTGTGTACAGTGTTTCTTCTCGAACGCTTTGAAAGGTTATTACTTGGATCTTGATATCAAAAACAAATTTCAGAAGAAGTGAGCTCTTCCAGGTTGACAATAAGCTTTCAAAAATAGCACACTTAACTCAGGAATCAATACATATCACTGCTTGTACCTTATTTGAAATCAGCCAAACTGCTTAGCAACTCATTTTTTAATCAGTTGATGTTAAGTGGGATAGAAGTGAGGCAACCAACCATTCACTTGAAACAGAAATGAATTTTTTTCACTAGGAAGTGAAAGCAGTAACTCTTGGTCATCATCTTTTTCTCTAAATTATAGGATTAAAAAATAAACTCTACTATACTTGGTTTTTGACATTCGTGACCTTCCTATGGAAATCCTTCACTTCATTTAAACTTAGCAAAAAGGGCTAAGATATCTCTGCAAACAAAACATCTTTCCGAAGAGCTATTAAAACAGTTTCAGGGGCGCCTGAGTGGCTCAGTCGTTTAAGAGTCTGCCTTCGGCTCAGGTCATGATCCCAGGGTCCTGGGATGGAGTCCCACATGGGGCTCCCTGCTCTGTGGGAAGCCTGCTTCTCCCTCTCCCACTCCCCCTGCTTGTGTTCCCTCTCTCGCTGTCTCTCTCTCTAGTCAGAAAATAAAATCTAAAGTTTCAGGAGATAAGAAAAACAAACAAAA